CCACACTACAATTAACAACATTTTCAATCTATAGATTTAGTACACTCGAAAACTATTATGCCTAGGACTTAGCCTATATAAATGAAGCAGTGTTGTAAACCATTATAATTTAAAATGTACAACAATCTTCAATAATGATTAATTAATACTCACTTTTAATTCTTCTTTTTCTTCGTATTCACCAGCTGTAAACTCCAGCGGAATGTTCTGGTTGCTCGTCTACTTCTGGACTCTAGTCCTGTTCCAGAAACTGAGTGTTGCGTACACATCCGTTATACACATCTTATTCATTTGCATGCAGACTGTGGGTTCTTTGGCTCTCAGGCACATGTACTCTGACTTTGAAGGAAGCTCCCAATTAGTCAACTCTTGCGACATTCTTTTGGGTAGGCAGTGGGTCTGTTCTAGTTTCCCCACAATAGGGAACCCACGCAGGGATCACTTTTAATTAAAATACACATATTTCCAACTTGTCGCCAGGATCAAAAATAAACATTACCATTGTCACGTTTTTGAGCTTTTACCAAATAATGATGGTGTCAAGTTTGAGCAATTATCATGCAATCCTTCAGCCTATCATTGCTCAGTGAGCTCCAACTGTTTGTCTTGATGACATTCATGTGTGAGTAGCTTGATTCGCTAGTGGAAGTTGAGCCAAAATTTGGTGAGTATGAATACAGAAACTTTTCTACCATTAGGGAACTGCTTCTGTTGAATCCTTTTGTACCAAAACTTGGTGATACCACTTTCTTGAAAACCTTCATTCACTGTGCTAGAACTTTGGATATCCACAAGCTCTAACTGCAGAGAACCTTCATCAAGAGAGGATAACAGCTACTTAGCATTCAAAGAAAAATCACCCGCAGGAGGGGTTTTAAAAGGTTCTTGAACGATTAACATTACATTGTTTGGGGTATAGAAGTCCTCAGATCTGTTGTTTAAATTATTCTGAAGCTTTTTAAAATAATTATATCTCTTGATTGGTTAAGTTTGCCAAGTCTAATGTTGAAGAAATAAAATAGCAAGCATACTGGTTTCGAATTACGCATAGATGGTGATATAAATAAATATTTCAATGTCCAGCCACTGTTGAATGCATAATTTTCACATTCTCACTTTGCTTTCTTACTAGTGCTAGCCATGGCATCAAGTATTTAACTAAATTGTTAAAAGTAGATAATTTAAAACACTGTTACTGTTTCAGTTTGTTACTATTCAATCGCATGCGGCAGTCTACGTGACTTGTATGTGACTAGACGTTCCCGAAAAAATCTTATTAAAATCTGATAACAAGATCACTAGCCTGTATTCTGGTGTGTCTGGTGTCACTGATGTTTTGCTGCACCCAATGTCATTAGTTTGTGTGTACTAGTGGCCACCATTAAGGAGAGCTTCTCTATAATCTAAGCTCTAACTGTCAGGACCGTGCTGGTATTTCCTTACGCTTTCCTGTCCAGTAAATATCACACTTCATTGACTGTCCAGTGCAGATGTGGCTTTCCTACCCATTACTTGATTCTTTCCAGCCTAACTTATTACCTTTGGCTTCAAACAGGTGTGTTTTACTATTCGAACAAACTGGGAATGAACTTTTACCTTGAACTAAATAACATGTTCTGTTCCTATGCCAGTTCCCTTGTATCTCTGCATTTACACATCTCTGAAAAACATTTCCTATTGACACATTCAACACAACTGGTTTTTGAAGATTTATACAGAAAAACTGGTTAATTTAATTTATTCCTTTTTAATAACTACATTTTACTTTTTGGGCAACGATCGGCGGGCCACTTGCTAGGCCTCGGCGAGCCAGATTGGTCCGCAGGCCGCCAGTTAAATAGCCATGATCTAACAGTGCATTATTACATTAAATTATTTTTGTTTTTGTTTGTTGCTTTTCTGATGCTTTCCAATAGGACAATCTAAAATCTACTAATTTCTCATAGATCATATACATGCAAAACTTTTTTTATTTTTGATATAAAGTGTCTGGTTTAAGCAGATTGTGAAGCTAGTCTTTAATTAGGGGATGCCATAATTTAGAGTAAAGGCTGAATTATTTGTTATTTGTTTCTAGTGCCATTAATTTTTGTTGTCAAGCATGTGTGTATATATATTCTCCCTCATGTTTAATTTTAAAAGTCATGTTGTTTTTTCATTGTTTTCTGTTGTTTATTTTACATTTGCATGAGAAATGTAGAAACCTGCCTTATAATAATTGTGCCTTAACAGTGTAGACTGATTTAGTATATGCATTAAGAAATTAGAAAATAGTTGTCTGAAATAAATATATAATCAAGAGAAACAAGGTCTAACAGAAATTAAGTATTTTAAATGAGAGAAAAGAAGTAAGCTGCCATCTGATTATTCTTGTAAAATAACATTAACTTTCAAATCAATATAAATGAGCTTTCACATCATGTTAACTTATAAATCAAACTAAACTGAAATCTTGCAATATTTTAACTTTTTAATTTAGAAAGAATACTATTTATATGATGGTAAGCAGCTTTTACATTCAGCTGGTTCATAAAAATGTATTTACATAATTATTTGTTGTAAATGATGAGCAGTACTTTTATTCACAATTTGTTGAATAGCTGTTATATGGCATGTTAACTATGTTACAATTTATAACTGAAGAATCTGATAATTTTAATTTGTAATTATAGTTTAAGAAGTAATTTACTGCATAATTTAGTCTCATACTGTGAAACTGATATACTAATGAATGAAAGAGCTGCTATAGTTTCAAGGGAGGGAGCAAATGAAGTACAGTAAAATATTAAGTTTAGAATAAATCATCTTCCATTTACTATGGATGAAATGTGAATTGTTAAACATTTATATAGCCTCCATTCGTGGCACCTTTCCGTCTTTCCAGACAATAGTGTTATATTGTGCTAGAAGGGGGCATAGGACTCACAACCCATGGTGATGGTGAGTATGACTAGCAAGACCCGTCCGAGAAGAAGTCTTCCACAATTATAGCATAGGATTTCAGGACCATTGTCAACATTTGCCTTAGTGTGTTTTTTCTCAGACGCTCAGTTCTCATTCTTTCTTTGATCATTTCTTCCTTCATTCTCATTCCCTTCCTGATGTGCCCTTTACATGGCAATTTGTTCCCATGAGTTCACCTCAATACATGTATCATTCAAGTCCCACTTGCACATATCTTTATATATATCACATATTATTGACTTTATTATTGCGAATGCACTTTGTGCAGTCTCAGAAGGCGATATAACATAATTCCTCCTCTGTTCTGAACTGATATAGCAAATACTTTTTATATTGCTTTTATGAGGTTGACTTCAATTCTACAGCCCATGGGACTACTTAAATTTATAAGTCAGAAGACAATACTCACAAGCAGACATTATATAGAACGAATCTCAAACAGTGAAACATCCTGAAAGATCTGATCTATCTCCCAGCTTTGCTGGTTAAAGGAGAAGATTCAGGGTTTGCCTACATCTGATTCCTTACTGTTATATGTTTGGTATAATTGTCTGTGGTAAAATATACTACCTTTTGTTAACTCACATACAAATGATTATGTTAAAATGAACTCCATAAAACTGGAGTAGTATTTAACATTTACAACATTTAATTGGAAAATTCAAACTAATCATTGGACTGGTTCGGGATATAGAAATGGTCCCGGATTGACATTGGACCGATATATCCATTCATCTGTAGTTTGTACTCCTTGGGTCAGCTTCTGGCTCAGCCTCAGAGACACTTCAGGCAGGTTGAATCTTCTAGTCCAGTCTAGACAATTCGGCACCTGCAGCTACACTGAAACTTCACCTGGAACTAGAGTAATTGAACAGACCCTGTACAAGAGGTTGGGAAGGTTCAGACCAAAGGTCACACATATGGAGTAAGATAGTAACATGTTTTCACATCTATTGGACCTAGCTTTGCATGCTCAGAAACAGAGTCACACCTCTCTACATTCCCAGTCTACCCAATGCTCTGACACCTGGTCTGAGATTGTTTACTAACACCTCATTCTGAAAGGTGTCAACCCTAGCCCTGGCCTGGAGTTCAAGAAAGATAATCTCAGGGGGAGAAAATTACCTTTATCACCAGTTACTTGCTCCTAAGGTTCTGACAACTAGATCATTATATGACACCTCAGTTTTACAGATGAAACCTACAGCTTTTTATGTCTAAGCTTGGTCAGTGTTACCTGGACTATTGACACCTTACCTCTGGGCAAGAGACTGGGTGTTATACTTCTGCTGTAGTCTGGGAGAAATTAAGTGGCTTTATTCTGGATTTCCTTCATTTGGGTTATATTCAGGAGCATGTTTTCCTTTATACTTTAGAATACATAGAAAAAAATTAGGTTGGAGAAAGACACGTTCTGGGGTTACCAGGTGAATCACTATAGATGGCAATTGTCTTTGCCCTGGTATAAATTTCAAAGTTAACAAAATTTCCAGAAATCAAATATTGACATTAAATACCACCATTACTGCCTGTATTTACAGCCTTTAAAAAAAAAAAATATAGTTGTGGGGGTCTTTGAATCTGAGGATTTCGAGCCACATGGCAAGTGCAGTTGCTATGGACTGTGGAGATTATAATGTTATCCTAGCATTGCTAGCATGTAATTCTCTAATATAAATGTGAAAATGCAGCCAAATCACCCCATTAATTTCACAAAATAACACACTGGGAAGTCATAAAGTTAGATCTAAGCAGGAGCAACATGTTTCAACAGTGTTTTAACAGATTTTAGGTTGCATACTCTGGCTAGATAAGAATGTGATGCAAGAATCAAGTATACAAGTAAGGGAAAAACACACTTTATTTGCAGCTTTGTTTTCAGTTGTAAAGACAATAAGTTTTAAAAATATTTATTTTCACATATTGTAAATAATTTATAAGCATTCATACAATATTTTTTAAACACTATTATTCCCTTTTTTTAAATTACTGCATGAGTAAATTGTAATTTTCAACTAAAAATGTTATTCACTCAGCAACGCCACAGAAGTGATGGCCAAGTTAACAACCGATGCTCCTATGTCCTAAGAAATGGAGAAATAGTAGAGGAAAAATGGCACAAGGTCATGGTAGGGGATATCATTCTGCTGAAGAATAATGATTATATTGCAGTAAGTAGTTTATGATTTTATGTTTATTTTACTTTCTAAAGTCGAGTGCCAATGAATTTCCAGTTAGGAATGTTAAATTCTAGTATTTTTAATGTGCATTTTAATTCAGTGTAATAAACCAAAGAAGATATCATTAAGTAAAATAATGTGTTATTGGCTGCTATACACCTCATATACTTTTCATAAAAATTTCCTCAGTATTTTGTGTATGTAATGATTAGATCAATCAGATCTGTCTGCCTTTTGTCTTTCTCTGCGTAATGCTGTTAGGCATCGCAGGCATGGCTAATGATCGATTTTGAGGATAGTGTACGATCCTTAGCTTGCTGCATGTTGACATTGTTGAGTTTCAGCAAGTTGTTAACTCCATCTATCCATGTTCTTCTTGGCCATCCTCTGCATCTTGATGTTTTCATTGTCATGTTATATGCCCTTGCAACTGGTGACACTGGTTTCATTCTGACCAGATGGCCAAAGCATTACAGTCTTTATTTATCAATGCATCAAATTACAGGTGTTAGTTAACTGTTTTTCTGACTTCGAAGGAAGCTCCCAATTAGTTGACTGGGTAGGCAGTAGGTCTGTTTTTTTTGTTTTCTCTATAATAGGGCCCCGGAACCCACACGGGCAATGAATGTGCATTAATTTTTATATTGATATTTTGATGTTCCTGATGTTTATGATTTCTGTTCTTGAGACATCTTTTGTAGAATGCATTAATGTGTTCCTATAGTTGTTGAGTTTTACTGTAGAATATGCATTGATTGTCAGCTAAAAGCAGCTCGATTGTGTAGTTTTGTTGGTTGTTAGTTGGTATAATTTTTTCTGTATAGGTGATAAAGTCTAAATAAATAATGAAAAACAAGTGAAATAGAACACATACTTGTCTCACTCCGGATGTTACTGGAATCCAATCTGTAGTTCCAGCCAGCTCTTGTTCGTATGGCACTTTCATTTCCATTTTACATGACTCTTACACAGCTCAACACAATAGATGGTGATTTTGCTAAAATAGCATGTCAGTTTAAAAAGCTATGTGTATTGTTAATAATTCAATTTTTTAAAATTATTTATGCTGATGGTAGTGCTGGGGATAAAGGTATCTTTAGGCTGCAGCAGTAAATGACTCACTGCAAGACAAAAGTCTTGGAAACTATTCCTAACGATGGCAGATTGTTTGTTTTTTCCGTTCAGTGGGGTAGACCAAATATCATAAAATCGGTTTTGAATCATTTGGACAGTTTCTTAATTTTCAGTGAGAAAATGTAGTAAAAAGAGTACTTAACATGCCATCTTTTTTTTTTTGAGAAAGAGAGAGAGAGAGAGAGAGAGAGAGAGAGAGAGAGAGAGAGAGAAACAAACCCATCTTTCATACAGCAGTTGTATTTTATCAGTAAAGTATGTTATATCATATAATAATATGCATATTATGAATATCAAGCAAAAACACAAAAGCATGGGTGGTAAACATGTATGTACACATTCGCACAGGCACACACACACACACATACATATCCACATACACAAGCAAACCCACTCACACACACATATACTCATAACTCACACATACATGCATATGCACGCACATACATTCATACACACAGAAACTTGCTCACACGCACACACAGGTAAGGCAGGCACACACAGGCATACACACACATACACACACACAGACATTATCACATGCTGTCACCCACATAGACACAGACATACACACATGCACGGACACAGAGACACACAGACATGCACGCAGCCACAAAAACAGATACACATACGGACACACACACATAGACACAACCACAGACATAGATGCACATCCACACACACACACACACAGATACACATACAGACACAATCACAGATACGCATAGACACACACACATAAATGCACATCCACAGACACACACAAAGATACACACAAACACAAACAGAGAGAGAGAGAGATTGATTGATTGATTATAATTCTGTTTTCTCTTCCACAGGCAGACTTGTTTCTGTTGTCCACCAGTGAACCACACAGTTTATGCTATATTGAAACTGCTGAACTTGATGGGTAATAGTATATAGTCACTTGAAAAGTCTTTTTGAGGAAAAGTATTCTGACAGGTCGGTCAACAAGGATGTCTTTTGTTGCTAAGACTTTTTCTACTGGCAGTAGACTGTATTGTGAAAACAGCAGCTACTGACACCAGGAATGGAATTCATTGGACCTTTACAAAACAGTTTGATGGCCTGGACTGCACTGAGGATATTCTTTTTTCTATCCCACTCACAGAATCAGATGCAAGATAAATTAAATATACTTGATGTGAGATACAGTTAGATCTGAAAGTCCATGATGGAAAGCCAACGAAAATGAGAATAACTCAGGCAAATAGTCATCTGGTTTATTTTAACTCTTTGAGTCCCAAGGAACACATCATATCTTCATAAGTTGCTACCTAGAAGCCCAGTGAACACAAAATGTGCTGATTTTTCATCTCTTTTGACAACCCCTCGGGTCTTTGGTTCTAAACCCCCAGAACTCAAAGAGTTAATGGTAATATACTCCAAGATGTGGATTCATACACCTATTTGGGCAGTAATATAGATGAAATTAGAGGAATTGATAGTTATTAAAATATTAATACAGAAGGCAAGAGGAGCTTCAGAGCACTAGGAAATTTGTGGCAGTCAGAAGAAATTATAGCTAATACTAAATTTAAAATGTTTAATTCCAACGTCAAATCAGTACTGCTGCATGGAGTGTTACACTTATTTGGGCAGTAATGTAGATAAAGATGTAGGACCTGATAAAAGATATTAAAAGATACTGTTATGAATAGAACAGGCAAGAAAAGCTTCCTTGGCACTAGGAAATTTGTGGAGGTCAAAAGAAATTAAAATTAATACCAAACTTAAACTTTGTTATTCCAATGTCAAAACAGTATTGCTTTATTGAGCAGAAAGATGGAGAAAATCAAAAACAGCTATTAATAAACTACAAAAATTCACCACTTGGTGCGGGCTTAGAATAGAGGGAATTAAATGGTACGATAGAATCAGTAATTTTGACGTTTGGGAGAACTAAACAAGTTCCAGTAGACCCTGATTTAATAAAAAAAAATAAAAAAGACAGGTGTTGGACTAGACACTATTTGAGAAAACCTGAAAACAGTTCATTGGTAAACCTGAGAACAGTTTAACTAGAATGTCTTTATATTGGAACCCACAGGGACATAGAAATAAAGGCAGACCAAAAACAACATGGGAAGGGAAGCTAGAAAGCTAAAGTTAAGGTTAAAAAGGGAGGACATGAGGTGAATAGCATGCAATAGCAAAGGATAGTTAGTTAGGTGCGTATCCTTTACAGGACGTTGCAGAACCAACCCCAGAATTTATTGGCTGTTGTGCTTTTTCCAGGCAAATTTCACTTTCGGCAGTTTTCTGAACGGTCATCTCTCAGTACCACTGTCGAAACCAGTGTAAGACAAATTGTCCGCAGCAGGGATCGAACTCGGCACCCTGGCATTAAGAAGCACGTTCGCAACGCCTAAGCCACAGATGCCGACTAGCAAAGGATAGAATGATATTTTCGCCGGTCCATGAGTGGGTAGATGATTTTGTGATGAGTAGGAGTTTATCTATCAAAACTTCACCTCCACTAGAGAAACTGGACTAATATCCAAGCTGTGTTGATCTCAGACAACGCCCTGGATATCCAAGAAAACAGCCATATTTGGCTCGTCATGTAAATACACAACAGCTGCACTTGGTACCCACAGTAGAAGAAAAGTGGTTTTAGATGTCTAGAATACTTTAAGTAATGATTGGTTAGACAGGGCAGGTGAGCCCTCCCTACAACCACCTCCTGGTAAAGAAATATTAAAAAGCTCCCACCAGATGTAATTCTATCTAACCGTCTAGTTAAACAGGTAAGAACAAATACACTTGGAATTTAACAAACGATAAAAAACCCATATATTTGATTTATTACACTAGCAATCATTTAGATGACATTTGTCATTTCTAATATATTTGATTAAACAGTGATAGTATGGTGGTAATGAGGTGCTTCAGCTAGAGAACTGAACACCTGAAATTAGAGTGATGTTATAATTTGAACGTAACTCAGTGGTAGTGCAAGATAAAACCTCTGACAGCCATGAGGCACTGTCAGGCTTTCCACCTCTTCCCAGCTTGTTCCCAACTTGTTCCACCCCCTTGTTCCCAGCTTGCCGATCTCCCACACAGTGTAGGTTTGTGCACATGGACACTCTGTTTCTGCTATCAGAACTGACTGGTCTTTACCATGACAGGAGCTGTAATAATTAAAACAAACACATATATCTATACTTAAACTAAGCATACATATACTAATAAAATATATATCATCTCTCCTCATATTCAACATTCTCTCCAGTCGTCTGAAGGTCTTATGTCTCACAATGTCTTACATATCCTGCCTTCCCTCTCATGTATTGTCATGATAATTGGCTTCCTAAGTCTGTTGTCCGTCTTCACTCAGACCTCCAAACTGGCTGACATTGTTTTGACATGAACACGTGGCACAGGTTAGGTGCTGAACACCCAAAACATTTCATTATACAAGTCTTATTTTATAAACATGAAAACTGAAAACATGTGATACAAACATACAAGAAATAGGAATGGTTTAGCAGTTCCTTAACTGGGACAACTGAATACACGCAAAGAACTATTTCAAGCAGAAAATGAAGTTAGATAAATCAGGGAAGGTAGAGTAGACTTAGCTAGCCTCTTAACCTATGAATAAAAGCTTGAAAATAATATACAATCATACCTGGGAACATTCCAGCAAATTGCCAAACAAGACTCCCACAGCTAGAATGACTGAGGATGTAACTTTTAGGCCTGCTGGCAGCATAATGAAGTGAATTTCAGATACCTAGCAGTATAATATGTACCCTGATCCATCTGCAAATTTAACTCCTCTCTTTTTCTTAGTGTCTAACCTGTCCTACAGGTGAGAGAATTTTAGCCACCTCCTGAGGTACCTGACAGATCCAGTTATCGTTTACTATGGCTGTCAGTCAATTCTTTACGGCCCCTACTCTGATCAAACCTTCCTAAGTGAGAAAATCTAGTTTTCCCCAGTATTACTGACAGGTGTGAAAAGCCGGTCAAGTAGAGCCATCATGTCTGGAGTTACCTACTTTATCAAGTCAATTCACCTGATCTGCTGTGTTCAAAGGGCCCAGTCTGGTCTGCTGTTATGTAACTTTTCTGACACATAGTCTCTGGTCTGCAGTTCAAAAAAGGTAATTTCAGGGGGAATAATTAGTTTTATGACCTGTTGCCTGCCCCTATGGGTCTCTGGTCAGGAGATAATTATATGACACTTTAATTCTACAATCAGACCCTTCAGCCACTAGGTCTGAACTTGGTCAGTGTTATCTGAATTATCTGACACCTCCCAAACACTCTGCAAGGGTACTGATATTTAACTACATCTGTATTCCAGGAGAAATTAAGTGTCTTGTTCTGTTTCTTATGCATATTTGCAGTTGTACAGTCTGTGTTAATTTTTGTGAATTGTCTTCTGCTTTGCGAACACTGGCTGTAAACTCTGGCAGAAACTTCTGGTTGTTCATCTACTTCTTATGCACATTTGCAGTTGTACAGTCTGTGTTCATTTTTGTGAGTTGTCTTCTGCTTCGCAAACACCGGCTGTAAACTCTGGCAGAAACTTCTGGCTGTTCATCTACTTCTTATGCACATTTGCAGTTGTACAGTCTGTGTTCATGTTTGTGAATTGTCTTCTGCTTCGCGAACACTGGCTGTAAACTCTGACAAAAACTTCTTGTTGTTTATCTACTCCTTATGCACATTTGCAGTTGTACAGTCTGTGTTCATTTTTGTGAGTTGTCTTCTGCTTCGCGAACACTGGCTGTAAACTATGGCAGAAACTTCTGGTTGTTCATCTAATTCTGGGCTTAGTCTTCTCCCAGACACTGTTTTGAACAATGAGATCCGGTATCTATATGGGGAATTTTTGTTTTTGATATGTGTATGTTGCACAGCATTTGCAGTTATATGGTCTTTTTTAATTTGCTTTAATTACCTTTAAAATAATATACCATTCATGATACTTATACGCGTTGTTGCATGCAGTATTCAGAAATATGTGTGATGTATTTTTAAACAGTTACCAAAAAATTCACAATGATAAGGAATTGATTTCATTCAACAAGATGAAACTGGACACATTTTTTTGTGCTGTTTGTACCTTGAAAATGAATATTTGGTAGTGCTATAAGTACTGTTAAGAAAACTTGTTGGCTTGTTTTGGACTACAGTCTGTTCAGTTTCTTTTACTTGGGACATTGAAAGACAATCTCAGTATGGATTCTTCCACCATCCCTAACAGCTTCCCATACTGAATACCCATATCCATTTGTTTTTCTGATAGTTTTGTTCTATTATCTGAATAGTGATTTTCTCAATTTCTAGGGGAATCTGTATTCCTTTGGTCAGGATGCCATTTGTGGTGTCTCTTATTTGTTAGAGGTATTTGGAGTTCATGATGGGCATTCATAATAAGTGAGCAATTGTATTTTGGGTCTAGAAATGGAAGCTTCTATATACTGTGTATTGGCTGTCTGGATGAAATTAGTTATTTTCAAGAGGTCTGTGACTGAAATATTTCCTTATATATGGGAGCATTTTTCTAGTTCAGTGAACTTTGGAGTATTGACTGAGCATCATTGAATTTGTTCTGTCTTTGAAGGTTTGCAAGCCTGTCCTTGTTTTCCTTCTCTACATTTAGTGTTAAGCATCGCTTTCAATTATGGCTCCTCAAAGGTTTCGGTTTTTACCTCTGCTGACTGCAAAGCACTGCAGTTTTGTGAGATCATAAATGATTGTTGCTTGTTCAGGTGGCAGCTTTGTTTCGCTGATAGTGTTTTTGTCTTGGCCTTATTAAAATCAGTTTAATTTTTTCATTTGATTTTATTTGATTCAAGAACTGACATCACAGCACTCGGGCCATTTCCATAAGCGCTCAGTCCCCATCTTCAGCAGGCAGCTAAGAGTTCCGATACTAGTGGTGCCAGTAGCATTCTGATAAAACGTCCGTCTTGCCTTTCCTCTGAGCCTCGAGCATTTGCCAAAACCTGTAGTCACTCCCCTCTGCATCAATCTCACCAGACTGTGGTGATATATCTGCTCCTCTGAACTGTACACGCTCTCCCACAAGGCACTAACCACGTTTGCCTTATCATGTATCAGTATTGCACCAAGTTGCACAGAGCCATCCAGTCTGTTTGCCTGTTCATTTCCCAACACACCGGTGTGCCCTGGTGAAAAAATCCAGACAATGCTCCTCACCCGTGTCCTCCGCAGTGAAGCATGCCACTCTGCACAAAGCATACCTGTTCTGATCTTCCTCAGCATGCATTCTGAGTCAGTTACAATCACGATGTGTGTGTGTGTGTCATGTTCTCTAGCCAGCGGAAAGCTGCAGTAACCACCTCCACCTCCATTCTTAAGCTGGATGTTGTGGTATCATATGCTAGGCTCTCCTGCACCAAACGTCGTCCATTAACTTTTGCTAAGAAGCCCCAAGCACTTATTTTGCCTCTTGACACTGAACCATCTGTGTAAATGATCAAATCCTCTAAGCGAACATTATCTTGAATTAATTGCTGAATTTCCACCTCCGTGGCACCTGCTGGCCAGTCTCTGCATTCCTGGCTCAGCCTGATTATGACTCTAGACAAGTCTGACTGTTCAGGTGGCACTTTGACCCACTCCTCTCCTCGCCTAATGTTCTCAAGGATGCAAACCTGTCTGATTGTGTCTTCTGCCTGAGCCATCCATGACCTCCCTCTTATCAGCCGCTGACCCTTAACTGCACCCAGAGCTGAGCTTCATGCAAAGGGTGGTCTGTGTCTGCAGCTACCCTGAGATATGACTTCGCCTGCAGCACCTTGTGCCTACCTGCAACCGTCGGCAAACCAAGGATGTATCGCATACACACCACTAGAGTGTCCCTGGTGCAACTTAGAATGACCCGCATAGCCACATTCTGTATGCACTCTAGTTTGTGTATCTGACTCTTTGAGACGGTAAGTAGTCCTAGGCCATAATCAACCACTGACAGGATCAGGTGATGATATAGTGTGAAAAGCATTCCCTGCTCTATGTCCATTGCAGCCATAATCTTAAGTGCACTCAGCCCTTTTTTTGGCATCTCGTCACAATACTCTCCACATGGTCCTCAAATGACAGGCTCCTGTCAAATGTAATTCCTAGATACTTCAGTTTGCTCTCTCAGTTGACGTTTCTACCATCTATTTTTGAGATTTGGGACATTAGCTTTAACGATTCTGTTGTCCAGAGAACACCACAAAACAGACACCTTTTCCGGGTGGCCTTCATTGATGTACACCACTCAGTCACTTTGTCTACTGTCGCTTGTAGCTCCCGGGCTGTTTGTTCCCTCTATTCCCCCTGCCTATATGCAAGTATATCATCCCCAAAAGTCAGTATCCTTCCAACGCCTGATGCTTCTTGGCCTGCGGCAATCCTAGGGCCAAAGTGCATAGTTCTGAGGTCCATGAGCCCAGTCGACGTGAATACAGGACAGCTGCAACCCAATTCACCAGCCATGGACTGACCTCCTTCTCCTTTAGTGCAGTCATTAAGATGTCGTATCTTATTCTGTTATAAGCATCCTCGAGATCCAGTCCTACCGCCATAGTTTCCTGTCTGTTCTGGAACCCTTCATAGACGTCAAAAGCAAAAGTGGCCACATTTGCCCATGTGTCCTTTCCTGGCCTGTAGCTTCCCAGACCTCTTGGGAGAAGCTTCCCTCTTTCAAAAAATTCTTGCAGCTTTACAGCAACTATCTTCTCCAAGACCTTCCCAAATGTGTTTTGTAAGGTGATGATTCTAAAGCCACTGAGCTTAGAATGAGCTTTAAAAGGTTTTGATAGTGAGATTAGATAGATGTGCACCCAGTCTGCGGTACTGATGCTGTCTTAATTTTCTGGTTAAAACAGTCGGCCAACTCTGCCAGGTCTACATCACTCAAAGCCTTCATGTGACCATACGTAACTCCATCAGGCCCTGGTGCAGTGTATTTTGCTTTTTTTTTCTTCAAAATTTGTTTTATATCTTCCACTTGTATTATGTCTTCATAATGCATATTCTTTAAGGTGCCAGCTAACTCCTTTCTAACTGCATCCCTGATGTCTACATTATTATGATCTGTCTGAGCTATAAACTTATGGAGAAAAGCCTCCCCTTTCTCCTTGTCTGTTGTCATACGCACACCATCGTCTCTACAAATTGTTCCGACTGTCATAGGCCGATCTTTTCTTTGCATCTGTCTTTGCAGTTTCCAGAATTTCTCCAATGTTTTATTGCCTCCCATATTATTCACAAAAGTTTCCCACTTTGCACTTTTGTCCTCTGCAGCACAGCGCTTGAAAACCTCCACCTAATCTTTTTTTCACATTCTCCCCCATCTCCACTTCCTCTCATGAACTTGAGGGTGTCTGTCGTACTTTCTTTAGCTACTTCACTGCGGCTCTCTTTGCCTTCCACGCCTGTTCAACTTCTGGAGTCCACCATGGTGGCTGTAGAAAATTAGTTCTGGCAGTTCTGTTGCATGCTCCCAGCCTGCTGCGTCCAAATATGTTGTTGGTCCACTTATACTGGAAGGTCTTGCGTGCTTTCCCAACCTTAACCTTACTGAGTTTAGAAATCAAGACTGAACGTGGTAGGTGATCACTCCCATGGTCATTCAGGACAGTCCATTTAACATCTAAAATCGACGACTGAGAGACAAATGTCAAGTCAGTGGCTGTGTCTACATCTTCAGACCTCATTGCCATTCTATTCGGCCTCCCATCACTGATGCAGACCATATCAGAGTCAACCATGGCCTCTGCAAGAGCAATTCCCTGTTGGTTTTCTCCACTGCTGTCCCATTTTCTGTTCCTCGCATTGAAATCTCCACATATGAGTAATCTATCACCTGGTAACTCCTCCAATTCTTTGAGCCAGCCCCATTGTTCACTTCTGACAAAACAGTCTACCGTGGCATATGTATTTATGAGGTTCCAACTTAAGCCACCAATCTCCAACTGTATCCCTTGAACCTCTCTTCCACTGTGGTTCCACTGGCTCAAGTCAAGCACCACATACTTCACTCCCTCCTTCACCACTAGACCTTGTCCATATCTCTCCTGTCCAACAGGGTTTATATAACTGACGTACCCAGAGCAATGATATCTGTCTGTATTTAGCTCCTGGAGCATGATGACATCAAAATAAAAAATCAACCTCTCCAGTTCAGGACCTCTCTGGCTAGCACTCCGACAGTTCCAGTATCCTACTTTTACATGATTAAAGCTCAATCTCTCAGCTTTTTGTCTTGTTCTCCTAGCACCTGCGCTCCTATTACTATGCCTTTCTCTCTCCCCATTCCCTCGTCGTCTCCTCCTCACTCCCTCTTCACGAACTGCTGAAAAATGTGTCAAGCGCAAAGCACGTGCCCTGTAGCTCCGACGACGAACCCTATGTATATTTTTTTAATCCATATGCGAAAAAATAGAGTACTGCAGGAAATGACCGGTCACACTAGTATTGCCTGCCTGCTAGGAAAGGGGCAATGGATGTCTCGTAGGAGTTCATACGCCTGGTGCCGCCCCGCACGCCCGCCAGACGTCCAACATTCACGACCAGCTCACCCTTGGCCATCTAGTTCTTCAGCACGTTGGCCCACCTTGAACTTTGGGGTTTAAATTCAGAGTTTGCCATCTCCTAAATGGACTGCTGTCCAAAGCTAACGGGTTCCATCTACCTGGGGAAAACAGATATAACGCCCTGACCCGCTTGACAGGCACGTCTCTGAACATAATTTTTTCATTATTTCATTATAAGATAGTGTGGGCATGGTTAACTAATAGTACTCCATTTTGTACCTCATTTAGAAAACAAACCTGATGTAAAAATTTCAATTCTTGCACTATTAATTGTGTTTATATTTACACAAGCTGGATTTAATTTGTTTACTTGTTTACAGTAGAAACTATTCAGAAAGTTTATTTTATGTTTTCGTGCTGCTTTGCTTCAGAAGTATAAATTCCAGTATTGTACATGAGGTTGTTGAGCAGAGGGAATGTTTGAGATTTTTTAAATTTCTTAAACAGAGAGACCAACCTAAAAGTGCGTCAAGCTCTTGAGGACACCTCAGAACTGGGAGATGACCTACAGAAGTTGGCAGAATTTAATGGTAGATATTTTTTGCTTTTTCTTTTTTTAATATTGATTTTGTTCACCTATCTTTCATAGGTCCATTGTCATGACTCAAGCAAAAGACTGATCTTTTTCTAAATGTTCATATGAAAATATCCACATCCATTTGTGACAAAATTCAGCTCTGATCAAAAATCCAATAGAGTAAGTTAACAGTTTGGGAGTACATTTGGCTGTTTAACTGAGGTACAGCAGTACATGAATGCTGTAGTACATTGACTATTGCCTGATGGACTCTTTGGCTGTAAACATTCATTAAAATACTGAATAGTTTATAATTATAAGAAATGCTATAAGGTAATTTTAAGAACTTACTAGTTGAAACATTTTTTGTGTTCCCACAGTGATCGAAACCTTCTTCGTTTTTGGTTGAAATAGATTATCTATATGTACATTGTTGTCTCTAGTATGAACTTCACTGTCTGCTTTATTTCAATCAGCGATCCATAGAGTTTGGCTTGCACCACTGTTTCTCTTGGCTAGAAGTTTTGCGTTTTGCCTTGTTATGTTTTATTTTTAGACTAGATCTATTTTCTGTTCTTCTGGTTGCAGATATAGATATATTTCTGTTTGTACATGGCATCCTGATTTTTGTGGTGCACCTCCTGGCTTGTTGCTTTCAACTTTAGTACCTTATTTTAATTGTTTTGTTAAGTTAGATCTGCCTACTGGCATATCGAACCTTACCTTACAGAGGTAGCAAAAATACTTCAGCCCTTTACTCATATTTCTATTAAAGATAACAAAGAAGTGATATCTAATATAATGAAAACAACTCAGTGTGAAAAAAAATGTCTTGAGATAAAAAGGAGAAGAAGCAATATGAACTACCCTATGAACAAGTCTCCCGGCCTTGATTAAATCTCTGCTAAATTGATCAAATTGTATTCTTCTTGTCCACCCAGGATATTCAATAGCATTGGTTGTAATCCTAGATAAGAAGTGGTACCTCTAATATCAGGACTCCTTTCGGTTTTTGCTGAACCATGTCAGTGTGGGGTGTTTCTATTTTTTGCTTCTTGTGAGGGCTCTGGTAACACACAAACTGTGTTTACTGTGTCTATTTCAGTGTCTGAAAGTTCTCATCTTCATGGTTCTTTCAAGCTTTTTTGTACTGTCTGATATTATGTTTGTACTGTTTTTCCCCAGTTCAACTTCATAGACTAAGCTCACCTGCTTTTTTTTTTTTTTGATTCAAGTGGACTTATCCACTACAGGACTTGTTCTGTACTTGTGGTCATCATTCTGATGTTATTTCTTCTTCTTGTAAATGATATCCTCTATGGAGTTTAAGGTAATCTGGAGGCCTAATGTGGACTGTGAATATGGCAGTCTTATTATTCACTCGACTAGTAAGAGTCTGCACAACTGAAAGCAGGGTTGATGCCTATTCTCTGTCACTGTTAAGTTTGTCTCTGTGTGTCCAGTAAGGATACATAATGTAGATTTAGCCACCTACCTGTTTAAAACTTTTTTAGCAAAACTGTCCTTGTATGCACATGTCCGGATATTGGCCAGAAAAAATTTAATTCATAGAGAATTTGTTATTATTTTTATGCCTAATTTAATGTATATTCTTTCTGTTTCCAGCTGAAATTGTGAGTGAACCACCAAACAACAGGTTGAGTAAATTTGAGGGCAAGATGTTGTGGAAGAATAAGACTTATGCCTTGGACAATGAGAAGATATTGTTACGAGGGTGTATATTAAGAAATACCCAGTGGTGCTGTGGGCTAGTAGTTTTTGCTGGTCGAGATACCAAGCTTATGATGAACAGTGGCAAGACAAAATTCAAAAGAACTAACATAGATCGACTAATGAATCTACTCATTATTGGAGTAAGTATGTTTCCAGCTCAGGTGTTTTTAGAATAAAAATTTGCTTATTTGATAAAATCTTTGTAATGGCCATAATTAACAGATGCAGTGTGAGAAAAGCAGTTTTCTCTCATGCATTTGGCATTTGTATTTATTGCACAGTATAAGTACAAGCGTGATGGAGATTCAGAATTCCCTTAACCATATGAAATATAGAAAGTCCACTAGGTCTAAACAGTATCACAGTAAATTGATCAGCACTTTAGAAGTATGTGGAATTGACTGAGTTATCAGGTTGGTAAATACAATCTGTGACACCAGAAATATACCCACTGAGTAATGTAAATCTGTTATCATTCCAATTACATTAAGAACTGTAGAATGGATCAACATCAAACAGTTAGCATCACGAGTCATGTCACAAAGATTTTACTGACAATTTTCATGCACAGGATTGTAAAAGAAAATATTGTATAAGATTCTAATCACTTTGGGACGTGAGTGCAGGGACTGGCCAGCTGGTGCTGCAGAATCAGGTCAACAAATGATTCATGACAATTTCTGCCCAAGTAATGTGATTGTCTATACAGATGGCTCTGTGTTGAGCTGCAGACGAAGTGCTTGGGGGTTCATAGCGAAGGCGAATGGACGTGGCTTGGTGCAGCAAAGCCTGGCATATGATATAACAACGTCTAGTTTGAGAATAGAGGTGGAAGCAGTCACTGCTGCCTTCGGCTAGCTTGAGAATCAGCTGTACACACATGCAGTCATTGTAACTGACTCATAGAGAATGTTGAGAAAGGTGGACTCACGCACGCTCCTTGCAGAGTGGCAAGCATCACTTCAAAGGTCCCTGGTAGTTAGCATCCTTTGGAAATTTTCTCCAGATCATGCCGGTGTGTTGGGAAATTGGCAAGCAGATAGACTGGCTGGTTCTGCACCACTTGGTGGTGAACTGGTTTATGACAAGCTGGATGTTGTGAGGGCCTTTTGGGAGAGAGTGAACGGTGACAAGGCACAGATAGATCATTACAGTCTAAAGAGAATGGCACTGTGAGGTGATATGGCCGATGCTCGACACTCAGGGGAAAGGCGTGACAGACATACAGTCAGACAGTTACTGGTGCCATCAGAATTGTAACTTACTGCTTGCTGCTGAAGATGGGGACGGAGTGCTTATGGGGGTGTCCCGAGTGCTGTGATGTCAATTCTTAATTCAACATTCAACTAGGTACGCAATGACTGCTTTACAATGTGGAGTAAGGTAAACACCTGTCAACACACAACGCACAGTTGGTTTTATCATCTACCCATTGTTAGCACAAGACATCAACAAGACAACTTATGCTTCGCCCAGAATTATGATTGTACGTTTTAAAGGCAGGGATTATGCAAGCTACACACTATGTAATGACAACACCATGAATAAATAAAATTAAGACTTCTGCAATATACTTTCAAGCACAGGACATAGTATGCCTCATTCAGACGACTCAAACATGATGGGAGATTTCACCGAAAGATTGGGCAAAAGAAGATCACAGTAGAACAAATATCTAGAACCATTCAGTAATATCACTAAGGAGTGTAATGAAAAGGGAGAGAACATTTTAAACCTATGCGCAGAGAATGAGCTGTTTTTCACAAATACATTTTTTAACCTTAGCCAATAGCCACAGCCAAATGCAAATGTGGCACAGGTGGGGAGACTAAAGCCATTTGTCTCAGATTGGTTTCATGTTAACAAATGTGCAGCAAGATGACAAATCAAGGACAGTAAAGTAATATCTAGTGTAAATGTAGATACAGATATCGCCCAGTTGTATTGTATATCATCATCATCATCAGGTGCCTTGCCGACTGGCGTGGGCGATCATGCCTCTCCACAATCTGTGATCACCTGCAGCATGTATCAGTTCGTGTGCCGACACACCTCCATGCCATGCAACAAGACTGTCAAGCATCTTCTCTCGTTGTCTTCCTCTATCTCTTTTTCCACAGATCTTTCCAGTGGTCACAACATGTTCTATTTTCCCTCTTCCTCTTCTCATAACATGGCCGAAAAATGATGACTGTCTCCTTCTGATGTCTGTGATAAGTTGTCTTCGGGCTCCCGCTCTTTCAAAACCTCTTGGTTGCTCTTTTTGGCTGTCCAAGGTATTCTAAGCATTCTTCTGTTCTTCTGTAAAACCACATCTCTGAGGCCTCTAAAAATTGTTTGGCCTGCCTACCAATTGTCCAGGATTCACATCCATATGTTAAAACTGGATGTATGTAGCGAGCAAGAATTTCTTTTCTAACTCTCAATGACAAGGATATATTGCACAAGATGTTTTTCATTTTATAAAATGCTGTTTTTGCCTGTCCAATTCTGTTTCTTATTTCAGTTATACATCTTCCATCTGATGTTATCCATGTGCCCAGATACTTAAATTTCTGTACGTGTCCTAAAATAACACCATTGACTTTTATTACACATTTTAGAATAATTTGTTTCTTTGATACCACCATTACTTCTGTCTTCCCATTATTCAAACTGAGGCCCATTCTTCCACTTTCTAACACCACAATGTCTATCATTTCCTGTAATTCTTTCTGACTTGTTGCTATCAAGACTGTGTCATCAGCATAACGTAAATTGTTTATATTGTGCCCACCAACCACAATTCCGGGCATATCAATTAAATATCTCATTATATATTCACTGTATATTGAAAACAAATCAGGTGAAAGTACACATCCTTGTCGTACGCCCCTCTTTATGCTTTGAAATGTACCTAAACAGTTGTTTATTCTTATAGCTGCTGTTTGCTGCCAATACATATTCTTTATTATTCGTAAATCTTTCCCATCAATGTTTAATTTTTCTAACAGTTTGATTACTTCTCCATGCTTCACACAGTCAAATGCTTTTGTATAGTCTATGAAGCATAAGTACAAATCAGTCTTTACTTCTATAGCTCTTTCTGACAATGTCCTTAGGATGTATATGGCATTGTTTGTACCTTTTCCTTCTACAAATCCACATTGTTCATCGCTGATTTCTAGTTTAATTTTGTTTCTTATTCTTCTCATAATTATTCTCAGTAAAATCTTAGTCATGTGACTCATAAGACTTATGAGTATTTTATATGAGGTATATATTTTTCATTAAAATGCCATACACAAAAAACTACAGACATAGTTAACTTAAAGAAATTGACATATGAAGAGATCAAGTCTAGGGCAAAATAACAGTAGGGAAACATTTTGACCAACAAAGAGAAAAATGTAACAGTAGCAGTATTGAAGCAAGCTGGCAGCTTTTCAAAAACATTTTACTGACTATTAGAAAACATTATGGTGTTATTATAAAGGGGGCATAAGAAAGATAACAGTAGTATGATGGTACGAACAAGTAAATTTACCTGGAATTAGTTATAGTTGGTATAGGCTGAGGTAATTTAAACTGATTCGAGGATAGACCACTATTCCAAGACAAAACCACTGCCTAGTTTGGCGAAAGTATATTTTTGCCCCGGTCCTTTAAGACTGGTACCATAAATTGGTAGCATCATTTAAACTGCTTTCCCAGCAGTGAAAAGACGTCTTGAAATTCTGAAAATTTGCATTCTCAAAAGTCAAAGATAATCCTTTTCACCTCGGAATTTTTTCATTGTATGGGTAAGTAGTACAGTTTTAGATTAATGTTGGGCTTAATTCCTTGAGAAACTGTCAAGGCCAGCACAAGTATGAGATTCTTTGTTTCCGCATTTAGGCTAATCTTGTTTCAAGGCTTGTCTCTATGCTGCGTGTACCCAGCACCTCAGGCATAAGGAATTTCCATTTAATTAATGAAGAAAGACCAGTAGTACTCTTTTAAAAAAAACTTGCTCATACATAGGTTAGAGCTGTAAGGGATTTAATAAAGGCTTTTATACCTTCTTTAAGGAGGAGAACTAATAAGAAGAAGAATGTGCACTGATTCTGCAGTAAGGCCAGCCGCACTTTTGAAACAATTATCAGGCATGTGCGGGGGTGAGGGGCCCTTCTTAGCAGTCATGCCTATTCTGAATATACACATAAACTCTTATATGCCAATATGTACACAGATATAAGCACACCCATACATAAACATGCATACATACACACTCATATGTACATACTCATACATATACATAATTGCACTCATGCCCATACATACACATTTAAGCGCCCCTCACATTCATGCGTTCACATAAATCAGACGAGCTGACATACAGCTGTAAGGTATGGCAAACTGGTTCTAAGTTTCATCCCATTAAGACAAGGGATAAGATAGCTAAAGAAGCAATTGCCAGCAGGAGAAAGTAAATTAGCTGATATTTGCTGATGAGTATGGATAATCTACAACACCACATCATTAGTCTCATCACCTGTTTGCAAGAAATAAAATAGGAAAATAAATACTGAACACCATCCCCTCCCAACTGAAATAATAATAGTAACTATAACACTGTTTCACCGTATAATCACTGTTGAGGGAGAGACATTACAACAAGCTGAGGAGTTTAAGTACCTAGACAGTGTATTCACTAAAGATGGAGGATTGGACAGGAATAGAAAACATAATACAGAAGGCCAAATTACCAAACAGAGCCATTTTTGAGGCATCAGTATGCACGTGCACATGCACACGCACACATGCACACATACACGTGCACGCAGCTGATTAAAAAATGCACTATTCTTACCAGCGTTAGGCAGACATGGACAATTGTAGAAAACAAACGTAAAATTACAACTTATGAGATAAGGTGTATAAGAAATGCAACAGAAAATGAAAAGAGACAGAGTCATCAATGAAAAACTAAGAATAATAGTAGGCATAGTGCTGGCGAATGATTTCATAAATCATCATCACGTAACAGGTCTTTTGCAGAATGTCGCTCTCATCACGGTTTGCCTGAAAAAAACTCGGTCTGTCGCCAGCTCTGTAGCCTCATGTACTTTCTTACTCAAGGAGTCACTTATATCCTGTGCCCATCTTCGTGTTGGTCGGC